CCTGTGTTGAACATGTAGAGACATTTTTGTCATTAGTCCATAAATGATATAGTATAATAACTATCTTCTTAGTATTTATATTACTAAATGATTTTATATAAGGGATTTCCTCAGATTTTGGTATTTATAGGGTGGAGCGGGAGCTAACTGGAAATAACTCATCATGGGAACCAAGTGATTACCATGTATTTATAATCTAGTCACTGAATATTAATGACTTTTAATATTACAGAAAGAGTGATAAGAGATTATAGTTTTATAGATGTAAAAAAAAAAACACTACCTGTTGGGGCTGGGTTGTGGCTCAGTGGTAGAGCACTTGCCTACCATGTATAAGGTTCTGGGTTCAAACCTCAGCACTACATAAAATAAATGAATAAAAATAAACTGGGTCTAGAGTTGTGGCTCAGTGGTAGAGCACTTGCCTAGCATGTGTGAGGCACTGGGTTCAATTCTCACCACCACATATAAATAAATAATAAAATAAAGGTCCATCAACAACCAAAAAATATTAACAAAAAACATGCATATCAGCTGCTATGGTTTGGATCTTAATTCTCTTCCACCCCCACCAAAGGTTCTTTGTGGTAAAGCCTGGCATTATTGGGAGGTAGTGGAAGGTATTAGTGGGAGGTAGTGTTTGGGTTATGAGAAATTTAACCTAATCAGTGCTTTAATCCACTGATAACTATTAACTGTGTAGTGATTGTTTTAGTCAGCTTTTTCACTGCTGTCACTAAAAGACCTGACTAGAACAATTTTAGGAAAGGAAAAGTTTATTTGAGGGCTCACAGTTTCACAGGTCTCAGTTGATAGACAGCCAGCTCCATTCCTCGGGGCTCCAAGTGAGGCTGAACATCATGGTGGAAGAGTGTGGCATAGGGAAGCAGCTAACATGGCAATAAGAAAGCAGAGAGAGACTCCACTTGCCAGATACAAAATATACACCCCAAAGGCATGCCCCCAATAACCCACCTCCTCAGCCACACCCTGCGTACCCTCATCTACCACTCAGTTAATCCTCTCATGGGATTACTTCACTGATTGGGTTAAGGCTCTTATAACCCAATTGTTTCCCCTCTAAACCTTCTTGCACCATCTCATACATTAACTTTTGGGGGATACCTCACATTCAAACCATAACAGTAACTATAGGCATATGGTCTATAGCTGGAGAAGGTGGGTCATTGGGAGCAGATCAAAAGCATATTTTAAAAATTGTGCCTGTGTTGAATATGTAGAAACAAGGCTTTGGGTTTTGTATTTTGTCATGGTGAGAAGATCTCTCTCTCTCTCTCTGCTTCTTGGTGCAGAGTCACTTTCCTCCACCACACTCTTATATCATAACATTCTGTCTTGCCTTGGGCCCAGAGCAAGGGAGTTGGCTGTATATAGAATCAGACCTCTGAAACCATGAGCCCCCAAATAAACATTTCCTTCTCTAAAACTGTTCTTATTGGGTATTTTGATTGCAGCAACTAAAATGTTGATGGAAATAAGCAAGCTAGAAAAATGAAGGACTGATATCAAAGCAGAATTTAACAGATAATCCTGGTGGCAGTTCAGAAAGGCAGAATGCTTCTAGGGATGAAGGCAGCAAGGACTATGCTGATGAAGTTTCAGATGGAATTACATTGGAAACTGGATTAGAGGCTGTGCATATCACACTGTGGCAAGTTTGGATACATTTTGCCCATGCCTTAAGGCTTGGAGGGAGGCTGAGTTTAAAGGTGATGGACTTGTTTATCTGGAGGGAGGAAATTTCAAAGCTGCCCATGTCCCACCACAGTTTATCCTCAATGACAAACCTGGAGCTGTAGGATTTAATGTTTCCCTTATTGAGTTTCAATCTTGCTTTGGTCTCCTTCCTTTTTTCCTGTTCTTCCTTTTTGGAATGGGAATGTTTATTCTGTTCCTCCATTGTATATTAGAAGTATATAACTTTCATTTTTACTTTTACAGGGCTCTGAAATGAGTTTGCCTTGAGTCTCAGAGAAGATTTTGGACTTAGATTTTTGACCAATTCTGCAATAGTTCAGACTCTGGAATTCTTGGGAATGGACTGAATCTATCCTACCTTGTGAGATGGGCATGTGCCTTTGGGGCTTGGGAAAAAAAAAATTATAGTTTGGGTCTTAAATGTTCACCATAGGTCCATGTAGTAAGGCTTGGTCCCATGTCTGTTGCTATTGAGAAGCTTTAGGAGGTGAGGCCTAGTGGAAGTCTTTGGATCATAGAGAGTATATCCTCAAAATGGGTAGTAGGACCTCTTTCTCCATTGTTTCTGGGCCATGAGATATAAATCTTTTCTCCACCACACTCTCCAGCCATAATGTACTTCCTCCCCACCTGAAGCCTAAAAGCAATAGGTTCTTCTGATCACACATAGTAACTTCCAAATATGTGAGCCAAAATATAATTTTTCTCTTTATAAATTGATTAACTCATATTCATGTTATAATAATGGAAAGGTGACTAATATATCAGCCAGTCAAAATCTGTTTATATATTTGGATTTTTAAAAAATAATAAACTATTATATAGTTTTGACAATTTTAGACAATTATAAATATACATATTATCTGTACCTTTGATCATATTAATGAAAAATGAGATATTAATTTTGGTATAATTATGATATGATAGCTATATTGGAAAAAAGCTTGTTCTCTATTGAGATATACTGATAAATTTATAAATGAAATTACAACATTTGGGAATTGCTTTAATATAACATGGAAATCAGTGAAGTGGGTGCAGGTATAGTTAAAACTGAAAATAAGTTAATATTTATTTAAAGTATGTGATGGGAACATGAATTATACATGTTACATTTATGCATTTATATGTTTAAAATTTTGGGTAATAAAAGATAAAATACAGAGTGCTGTGATAATTCTTGGGAGATGGGGAAATAAGGATTAAAAAAACACTTAAGAGGGTGTTTGGGAGAATTTTATAATCACATAAGTTATATACAAAGTCAGTTGATAAACATCACATCAGGAAGAGTTTCAGAAGGATATAGTAAATTGTGAAAATATAAGGAAAATACAATAGCAAAAATGAGCTATTATTAGAGCCCTTGCTTAACATGTGAAACCCTGAGTTCAATCCCCAGTACTAAAAAAATAAGAAATAAAAATAATTTTAAAATAAGATATATTCAACAGGGGTGAAGATACACACATAACAGTATGAGAAATACAACACATTCTAATTTAATTTACAAAAAATAAGTAATAATGAAACACAAAGTGGCAACACCTTTTTTTCTGATTTTATCTGTTATTTGTTCTTATTAGTTATACATGACTGTAGAATGTAGTTTTACATATTATACATATACGGACTACAGTGGCCATTCTTCTGGTTGTACATGGTATGGAATTACATTGGTCTTGTATTTATATACGCACAGAGGAAAGCAATGTCCAGTTCATTCTATTATCTTTCCTATTCCCATTAAGCCACTAATGACATTCCTTTTATTCCCCTTTGACAAAATGGCAACACTTAAAGATATCATAGCATATTTTTTCAGAATTGAAAAATTTGTGAAGCTCATCTTAAAAATATAAAAGCAAACAAACAAGGGTGCTCCAGGTGATTTATACTGATTAGATAAAAGTGCATAACCACTTTGGGCAGACTTCAGGGAAACTGAAGAATGAAATATGCAAAGGCAATGTGATACATAAGTATAGAACATAATGTCATTAAATAAATGAAAAAAAAACAAAAACAAAACATCAGAAGTCAGAACAAAAAGGAAGAATAACTTCATGCTGTGTAGGGAGAAATTATTATGAACCTATGCCGCAGTCTGGCTGGGCAAAGTAACCGGGAGGTGACAAGCAACTTGAAGGTTGAAGTGGGAACTGCTTTATTACGGAACAACAGCGGTATATAAACCTAACTGATTACACACAGCTTGACTCAATTAGCATCATCCAGATACAGCAATCAGCCAATAAGGAATCTCCACCATCGTAATGGCTCTGTGGCGTTGCCTCACAATCCACTCCTCCTGTCAAACTGCCAGGCACCATCTTGACTTGATTCATGGTCCCTTTTATTTTATTAAACAACAAGTTGTGGTTTAGGGACCGTGCCTGTATTAGGTTGTCCAATACTACATATGGTCCTTACCCGTCATTGGATGGTCTGACCTCAAATCGTCAGCCTCCTGGCTTAGGTTGGTACCATTGTAATTGGATCTTACCCATCTTTGACTACTGGCCCAACACACTTAGCCATACTTGTGGATAACGACCATAGTGGTTTTTACACAAACACCATAAACAACCTGCCACAAGCAGAAAGGAGGAGGATATAAAATGCCATGATACCAAGCCATTGACTGCTCCAAGTGAGAAACCCCTGAAGAAACTGTACCACAGATGACACCGTCAGCAAAGATACCTTGGTACTATTACAATTTGTTGTCATAATGCATATAAGTGATACACAGTCCAGGTAAGTTCTATAAGCAGCTTAAAGCAGAGGAATCCATTAATATGTCTTGAAGTAAATATTGATGCAACAGTTTGTACAGTTTGTTGTGATAGCTATCATAGAAGGTGCAGCAGCAGAAACTGCAACAGCTGTGATGATGGTAGCTGTAATTCCTTCTTCCTGTAACTTGCATATGGGTTTGAAGGCATTCCCACAAGTAAGCCTCAAGGTTTTTTACATTTGAAATAGGCCTTAATGGTGCTCATTATTCATTAGCCTCCAGGTGTGGGAGAACCATTGTCGCAGATGTAAGGATAGCTAAACTGGAGTTCTGGATATCAGCTATTATAGATTTGAGCCAAATCATCTTCTTTTTGGTCTGTAGAAATTGCTTTGGTTAGTCTCTCTGGAATCCAAATCGGCTGCTGTTCTCCCTGTGGAAACACACAAACAGACCTCCGACTCCAGACAATCACTGGGTCAGGAACTTTAATGTTAATAACTGTAATCTGATGCAGTTGTGGTAAAAGCTGTAAAATACCAAAGCATCTAAGGTAAATGCTATCACCATAATTGAAAACTGGAGTTCTGAATATCCTGTGGCAACACCTGCAGCAAATAGGGAAAAACTGACGACTCATTAGTTATTGGCATTGGAAATTGCCAAACTTCAGGGGTGCCGGGTGCGTCCTCCACCACCACCTGCAGCGTCCTGCTCCACAAGCAGCCTCATGGCGAGGGGCGGGGAAGGGCCGGCTGGAAAGTCCTTGCTGTGCAGTGACCAGCTTGCACACTCGGCAGCTGCCACGCCGTGCCGCTTCATGCACCCTCTGGTGACGAAAAGTGTTTAGTAGTAGCCTTTTGTTGTAACTCCTTCCCTGATAGTCCTTTCTCCTCTGAACTTTCTTTCCTCTTTCTGACTAGAGTTCCTGGGCTTTTATCAACGTATGCCCTAACTGTTCTTGGTTTTATTGGAGTGCCTCCTTCCTTTAGCAATTTACTTAACACCCTTTCGGTTTGGTTCTTACTAACTTCTGATCCCATATATCCATAACAAAGACAATACTACACACCAAGACAAAACAAGACAAAAACACACTGTATCAATCTTCTCCATTTTCTTGAAATGGCCATTTGTCCTCTCACCCTATCTACTTCCTCAGAGGTGAGCAGGTTTCCTCCTGTCCTATCTATTTCTAGGGACAGGCAGTTTTCCTCCCATTCTATCTATTTCTAGGGATGGGCAGCTTACCTTGTCATTTACCCCCAAGCGTCCCGGAATTCCCCTGTACGAGCCACCATTTGCTGCAGTCTGGCTGCGCAAAGTAACCGGGAGGTGACAAGCAACTTGAAGGTTGAAACGGGAACTGCTTTATTAAAGAACAACAGCGGTATATATACCTAACTGTTTACACACAGCTTGACTCAATTAGCATCATCCAGATACAGCAATCAACCAATAATCCCCACCATCTTAATGGCTCTGTGGCGTTGCCTCACAAACCACTCCTCCTGGCAAACTGCCAGGCGCCATCTTGACTTGATTCACGGCCCTCAACAAACCTAGAATTATATAACTATAATTCAGTAAGAACTGAATCTACCTGCACTGATATTGCTTAATTAAAGAAGTTCTTGAATACTAATTTAAGCAAATAGCTCACCTCTCAGGACAGAAAATTCTTCACTTGAACAAACAGCTTTCTTACAAAAGAAAAAAAAATGCTTATTAAAATTCTTTTAAAAATCATCAATCTAAACTATTGTCATGAACTTTGCTCATA